GGAGGGAAAAGGAGAGCGACCGACATTTTGAGACTACCAAAAAAAGAATGCAATAAGAATCTGATATTTTGATTAAATTTAGCACGCCAACGTGTTCTGAACCAACGTAATTGAACACAATACGGATTGGGCTGTTTTATGCAACCTTTACCAAAATAATTGCAAGAATCCGCCTTGGTTATACCTTCATCTAATATCGATGGCTGGCAAGCAAGCGTTAACTCGGTTTAGCATATCAAACAACAACTCTTAAAAACTTTCCTGTGCTTTTCTAGAAACACAAATGTTGTCTTAAATTTTGAAGAAGACGCGTCTGAGACACACTTTTCAAATATATTATGTGCTCTTTCTCCGTATGTGTGTGATGTGGCCGCAATGCGTATGTTTTTCTTATGTACTGTTCTCTTACGTCTGTCTCCGGTACAAAATATGCAAATAGCTCGCGGCGTACTTTCACTTAGAATGAATGTTCTTTTACTTAAGGCGTTTGCAAAACTTTAATGATTTTCTTACAGTGTTTCTCCGGGAATGATATCATAAGGATTCGAAAAAAGTTTTTATATTGATTTTCTTGTAAAACTGTATTCATCAGTGTTAGAAACATTCCAATTCTTGTAATATTTTAATCGATTGCTTATATTTAAAAGGCATTTCATAGAAAAATTCATTTAAAAATACTTTCCCTTAGTCATAATTGGAAAAGGCAAAGCTATGCTCTCCTATTAAATTGAATTCTTACAAAATTTTATGCAGGTTTTCCCTACCCGCCCAGAAAATAATAAATATTAACATATCCATAAATATTCCCTTATGTCTACGCCAAGGAATGCTTTTACAATTAACTTAATTACACTTCCTTTAACGATTTACTTAACAATGCTCTTGAACGAGCAGATATATCTTAAAAACAACTAAAAACACTATAGTGGGCCAAGAACCACTTTTAAATGCCCTAAGACACTTCGCTTAATAAATTTTTTCATATATTAACTTATCAAAGCAATACGTTACATAAGAAGTGGTTGAAAGACAGACGGACAGATAAACTTAGAATCACTTTCTGAATCGATCAGTGTAAAAAGACAAGAGTCCTTTTCGATATTGCCCTTGTATCGCACCTTGTATAGGGTATAACAAAATATAAATGAATATGTTTGCATATCATTTACTTTGTCTTATCTTCTCATGTTACACTTGGAATGAAATAAAGGAAATTTATAATAAATGTCATCATAATTAATTGCTTTATACATACACCAAATACGCACTTGATTGTATTCCAAAGATGAAATTATTTACCAGCCTCCCTTCATCCCTTCCAATCGCTTATGTGCTAATGCTGAAGAAATGTTTTTAAGTTATTTGTAAGTTGAAGACAACGGAGAACGAAAGACAAAAAAAAAGCATTAAAGTTAAAAATTTTTGTAATTTTTCTTTGCTTAATTCCAACCATGGTTTTGTTACAATTTTCCGTTACATCTTTACCCAATTATCGCAGGTATATGACACCGTCAAACTTTTAGTAAACCCATCCAAGCATCCACTACAGTAAAGCAACGACGACCATTAGATACTCCACACAACTTAGTCTAGCGCAGCTACTACATGACACATTATTTCCACGCAGCCCGCATATTGCAGCATACGCGAAACAGGACACGACGATCCAAATTTTGAAAACTTATTTGACTTCTCCAAAATGTTGTAATTTTGTTTATTATCCGAACTAGTGGTCAAAGGACGTCAGGATGCCAAACTTCATCGAAATGCATAAAAAGTTGCGATCTTTCATTAGACTGACAAACAGCTATGTGGGCAGACGGACAGAAAAGCTTAGATCGATTCTGAAAATGATTTTAAATCAATTGGTAGTATGAAGATGGGTCTACCTTAAAGCTATCTGTGTGTTCCGGACAACCACACAAACTGAATGTACACTGTAGCACAAGTGGCGTAGGGTATAATTATAAATGATTGTCAATTGATTAGTTCTCGAAATGACAAAAAAAATTCGAAATATTATACGTAGGTTCTTGAATAATTTAGTGAAAGAAATCTTCCGTTTCAGGTACCTTAGCAGGTATGCTGGCCGTGTTCGTAGAACTTCTGACCTTCTAACTGGTTGCCTTTCGTCACCAAAGACTTGATCATCTTTTCCTCAAGCAAATACAGATATTTTCGTAACATTTTACATTCTTTGCAATAAAGACGTCATCACCTTGCTTTACGTCAAATAAAAACACTACTACATTATCTTTTCTCCAATAAAAACACCATAGCCTTATCTATTGTTAAAAGAAAACACAAGCACTTTCATCTTCTCCGATGCAACAAACGTCCAATCCTCTTTTTTTTTTGGGCAAATAAAAACACCATCACCTTACCTTCTATCGAATGTAACGCTTATGTTCTCTACAATAAAAATATCATCGTATTATCTTCAAAAGCGCCATCACTTTGCCGTTTATTAGATAAAAATGCCGCTATCTGCACACTCACCTTCAATAGGGGTACTGTTATCCTTTCTTCTGTCTACCAAAAACTCCATCTGTCCTTTCTGTAAAATAACTTTATCTGTAACATCACTTTATCTTTTGTAAAGAACCGTTCGACACCATTGTAAAGAACGCTAACATAATTTTAATTTTTTTTCTTCTACACTCTCACACTTAACAATTCTTTCATATGGCACTTTATAATCGTGTACTACATTACTTCTTACAATGCAGAATTTACCCCTCGCTGTTCTGTTCTATCCTAGGTGACGAAGGTGTGACATGCACTAAAACTACGTGGCGAACGTATAACACGCAAAATTAAAAAGACTTTAACCAAATAAATATTAAACTAACAATAATTACATAAGTCTGATCCCAGCTTTACTAAGGCCCAAACAAAGAACTGTATTTTCACACTGAGCCTTTTTCACGCATCTCAGCGAATTTCTCGTTGCTGATTTGCGAAATAGAAAAAGAAGAAGAAAAATGTTTATTTTTGATTTGCTGAATAGAAAAAGGAGAAGAAGAATTTTTAATTGATCTCCTCAATAAAGAATTTCAAACTATAAAAAACGTTTGCAAATCTATAAAAGTTTTGAAAGAAATAAACTATCTGTCCCTAATCTAAGAATAAAAGACTTGTAAGCTCAACTAAGTTCAAGTATGAAGTTGTCTGAAAATATTTTCAGAAAGTCATTCTTCGCAATAAATAAATAAATGTAATTTCATAATTTTATTTAAACACTACTTTATAGGGCATGGTATACCTATATATTTAAAGAGGTAACAGTACTTAGCTATAACCTTACGCATAACGCTTAAAATTGGATATACTTTCCTCTTTGAAATTCTCTAACACTTCACTCAAAATTTTCAATTGTTTTGCGTCTATATATACACAAACTTGTGCTTGTGTATGCAGGCCTATGCTCGAAGAATTTTTCTGGTAAACTTACAGTTGACTTTGACTTATGTTCTTCTCTTTTCAGTTTAGTCAGATCTGAAGATATTGCTTATAAGGGCGCAGTAAATTGGGTCAAACACGACCTAGAAAAGAGAAAAGATCATCTCGCGCAATTTATGAGCCATATACTTTTACCTATTGTCAGCCAAAAATTCTTGTCAAATCATATTGTTGCTGAATCCCTGCTCAGACAAGATCACAAATGTAGTCAATTCCTCATTGCAGCCTTAAATTTTCAGTTAATAAGAGCAACTGAACGAAACGAAAGAGGCCGAACAGGAAGAAAACATCGTAACGAAGGCTTTCATGTGTTTCTTATGAGCGGCACACAGGATTACCTTACGGTCATAAAAGAAAGCAAAGGGTAGGATATATCCAAAAGGAAAATGGTTCCTATCTCAAGTATGAATGAGAATAGATTCAATAATTACGCTGACTCCTTAAACAGCGTTGTTTGTGCAGAGGATGGGGTTCTGAATATTGTAATCCTGCCTGATGGAGTTACATAGCACCAACAAATATTGGTCGGAGAAGTTTTGGGATTTGCATGTACGATGACCTAATTTACGTTGATGGTGGATGGTGGAATTGAACAGTCGCAACTTACAATTCTGCAACAAGCAAATGGCACTTGTGTCAGAATATTTTTAATTTAATCACTTCCACGGTATACTCGTATGGTTGCGTTTTTATTTTCTTATTAAAAAAAGTCCCACATGCCTGAAGAAACTAAAGAATGCAGACGATTGTTTAGAATATTGCTAAAAAATTACGATTTTTGCTAAAAAATTTTTATTTTTGAATCATTTTCTTCCTTAATTTCTCCCTTTTGTTTAACTCCATTACTAATGTCTTCACCTTCTTCTTAAATGACTCGGCAGAGATATTCCACATTTGTCCACATTCATTTTTTCCATAAATAAAACCAGATTAAACACTTTAATGTGAACGAAGGACTACGATTGGGCAGCAGTTTTTACATTCACTACAACACCATAGCTTTAAAACATAGCTACAATTTTCTTATGTCTTCACAATAAATTGAAATTTTCGTTCTCTTCTTCGTAATAAGTGCTTGTTTGGTCAACTTTAGAAATCATGCCCTTATTAAGAAAATTGCACTTAAACTATTAATAGTAAAGAGCAAAGCTATTGCCGTTATAGAAAAGAGAACCACAATGAAATCTATAGATAACAAAGAGAGTTTTGTTTTCTTCAGAATGTAAATATTAAATGCAATGACGACGAGAAAAAAACAGGCAATAGTCTCGTTTTAGAAAAAAATACAGTTTACCATGGCCGGTGCATTGAATGCAAGTGCATGCTTCATAAATGGAACTTAATATATTATTATTTTGATATTAAATTTATTTATTCGTTTCTACCCATTGATGCATATATTTATACTTACCTGTCTCTTTGTTTCTCTGAGATAACTCATTCATTGAATTCAGCGATCGTCTCTCAAAAATGTGAGAGAAAAAGAGAGAGTATTAAATCCTCTAATTTAATTTTAATAGAGTCAGTCGTATTTTTCCCTTTGGAAGAATCGGACATTCAAAGTAATCAGAAATTTCTTATCTTGATTTGAGAAAAAGTACGAAAAGAATTGAAAAGTGTAACCATAACAAAATTCATCGAAACTAAATAAATAAAAATTTTATTATTAATTGGAAAGTGACCACATCTTATTACTACTCCAAACGCTCCTAAGCATTGGTCCTTCAAATCAGATTTAAGGTTTGTAAACCGTGTTATGTGTTTTTAGTGAAACAATGCCGAATTTTATTTAAGGAATTTTTAATTGATGCAAAAATTAATCCAACATTTAGTAATAACTTCCAAAATATTCAAATTAATTCGTTAATTCCAAAATCCTTGCATGGAAGAGTTTGTTCATTACAATAACTTAATAACTATTTTTCTGTAGAATAATTGTTGAGATTAACCGAGAAGACTCTTTATATCGGATCAAGACTATATGTACATTGAAGTTGTAATGGAAACATTAAAAAAATGACTAATAAGCACAATAAATAATTCGGATAGAATAGAAAAGAATACACATGTTGTTTTCACGTGCATGGCTCATGTTAACATGCATTGTATTATTTTTATTTGATTTATTAAGTTATTGCTTACGTAACGATGTTATATGATTGCATTATTGAAATCGTTCTACTCTTACCAGTTTTCTTTGTAAATAAGAACAGACACTGCTCATCTAATCTGTATAATAAGTGCGTGTGTTGAACATCTTTAAAAGTCTCGCACTATTTGAGAAAATTACTGAACTTGCACTTGAACTATTGACAGTAAAGAGCAAAGCTATTGCTGTTGAAGAAAAGAGAAACACATGGAGATCTGTACAATTAAAACAAGAATTGTTTTCCTCAGAGTGTAAATATTAAATGCAATAACAAGAGAAATAACGGCAACAACTCTTTTCTACCCCCTTTCATAGGTCATCTAAACAAACAAAGTTTAGCATGCCCGTTGCAATGAATGCAAGTGCATGCTTCATAAATGAAACCTAACTCATCTGAGAGCATATTAAATTTGTCTATTCATTTGTAACGCATATATTTTAGGTATTAGAATTCTTTTCCCTGCGAATAAAAGCGACAATTCAATCATGTAGGGACATTTGCAATTACAAGTCGTACTTATCTCTATCCCTCTCTCTCCCCCTCTCTCTCTGTTTCTATCAAAGGGAATGAATGTTACGAATGTGAAGTTTTGTTTACAAGATGGTCACAATAATAACTTCTTGGTTTTACCCAAAGTTACTTGAAAGTTTTTATTACGGGGGATATACTGTTTTGTCATAATGTTTGCAACATCCATTAGGAAGTTTGAGAGATCCTACAACGTACATATATTCTTGATCAGCATAAAATTCTGAATTGAATAACCAATGTATGTCCGTCTGTGTGGTTTGTTTTGACATCCGCACAAATTAAAATATCGAGTTCGAAATCTTTGGTGTTGAAAAATGGGGAAATCGGTCGGAGCAGAAGCGCGCAGTCGAGCGTAAACTGAACACAACTACTTTTTTTTAAACAAAAATTTTTGAATTTTTGCTCGTTACTCGAAAATTATAAAAGTTAGAAGGCTGAAATTTTGTTCATTTATTTTGCTCTATTCCTTACGTCGGAAAAGGGAAAACATAACCCATACCTACACAAAGTTACAAATGATTAAATATTCTTTTTTCAAATTTTTGAGGTTTTATGCTTATTTATCATAAGGCAAACAAAACCGAATATTTAAAACTATTTTGTACACTACTTAAATGAAGATATATTAGCGGTCTAAAAATGGATTCATTTGAAAATGAATATACTAGACACCTCGAGTAAGTTTTTCTTAGTAACACCATCGATATGGGTATCAAATAAGAGAACTTGGAGTGTAGAAGGCGACAAGCTGAGTGTGTTAGCTCTAAATCAATTGCAGTGAACGCGACGAGGTGGTATAAATAAATAAAATAAATTCCAAGCAAAATTGCTTACTTGCAACTAACTGAGCCAAAACAAAAAATTAAAAAACAAAAAATTGAGGGACAAGAACAAACTTTGTTGAAGAAGACTGTTTAACAATGACCAAAAAGGAACAAAAAATATTAACAAATTAATGTTTATCTTGATTTTGATTTTCGATAGTACAATTAATTTGTAAGTGATTTTCAAGGCTAATCGCTTGGGCGTACTCAATTATAGTTCGTATAGTATATTCCCCAAACTTGCAAATTTATGCAAAAGACTTCGTTCGTTTTCCTCAGAAAAGTGCTATATGAGAGTACGGAGTAGAAGTTACTTTTTGCACGTATTGTTATATTAATAATCATTTCGGGTAATATATTTATATTTTGATTTTCTTTTAAGGAGAACAATACAGGGACAGACGGAGAGAATATAGCCACAACACTTCCTTCGTTTTGGCCTCACAGTTTCTCCGTCTCTGGTGGAGGGAGAGTGCTAGTTTAAGTTAGAGAAAAAGTTAAGGACTAAGTTAGAGAGTAAGCTAGAGAATAGATTAGAGAATAAGCTAGAGCATAAGGTAGAGAATAGGTTAGGTAATAAGAATAGATTAGGAATAAGGTAGGAACAGTATGAGAATAGAATAGGGAAAGATTAGGAGTAGAATAAGAATAGATTAAGAACAGGATAAGGTAGAATAATTGAGTTTGAGGGAGAGAGTTTAGTGAGTGATGTTTAAGAAGTCGGTCGCGAAGGCGGATAATCAATAGTGTTTCCTGCGCCGCTGGGCTACCCCAGCCCCAGAGAATGGGCCGCAAAGGCCCTCATAATACATATATTAAGCGCATAAAGAGTACATTATATGCACATAAAGAGTACATTATTAGTCGTTGCTTTGTTTATTCCTTTATCAGAGAGCCAGCTATTATTTTTTGAATTTTGACGGCAACTATTAAATACAAACAAAAATTTACGTCTTCTTTCTGCTGTTTTATTTACATTTAATGATAGCAACGGAAATGGCCCTATGTGATTAGGACAGAAATGTTTATCGATCATCGGAAGTTAACCCTCAGATACGTGATTACCCATGGTTCATTGCTGAGTAAAAAGAATTGAAGTCTTTTGAACCCAATCACGCGGTATTGCCGCATCAGTCAGTCACTAAGGAACTTAGAATATGTCTTTTCAACATATACGATAATCGTGTGAGCACCAGTTTCTTGGGTTTATGAAAGGCGTAAGCAATTCTGTCGACTTCCAAAGCAGACCGTAATTCTTACGTTTGACAAGATGAAGTACCTAGAAAACTTAACGCTTTCTGTCTCTTAATTTTCGCACCGAACTAATAAATGAATTCAATATTAATTTCCCTCTCAAGGTCGATGAAATACTCTCTTGACACAATCTTAGTTATGACAATAGCGATACCGTTTAATTTAAGGCAAATTTGGTATAGAAGTCATATATGATCCCTTTTCAGGTATTGTCAATGCATTTGCATTCTGAAGAGACTTCTTCCTTTGATGTTCACTAAATCGTTTATTTATAACATGTCTTGCGATCTCGACCCCACCCAATTCTAAGCAGGCACCTCAAGTCGGTTTAACAGTAAAATAAACTCTGTATTTAATGTACGTGCCAAGTTCATAGTTTCCCATGACAAAGAACTATCGGCGCTTATCACTGATACGGAGTATTTAAAACCTAGCCTTGGCCACATTTTCCGCTTTACTTGATTATCGCTTTTCTGCGCTTTATTACAGCGCGTTATGTCTATATTTAGCTGAGCGCTTCGTATTTGAAATGACCTTTAAGGAATTCGTAACTTTAATCTATTAATATAAGAGGGGAAAAGTGAGTACAGAATTTCTGCAAAATCTATTGAAAAGATGAAGTGCAGCGCCCATAATGAAATTATATGTATTTCTTTCAATTTTCAAGTTTGTATTCAGTTCACAAGTCGGTAGAAGTGAACCACAACAATTAGTGCATAACAAAATATTCTTGACTGCATTTACTGATTATTGGCCCGCTATCAAACATGCTTTCTGTCACTGCGGGGTACTTGGCAGCACTGCCTCCGTGCCCATTAGCTTTTGGTAAATATTAAATACGAATCTATGCGCGGATTATGGTGACAATGGAACAACAATTCATAATGAACTTGTATAAGTCCATTCACTTCTTCATTTAAACGTTGAAATCTATATCCGCCTTATGACGAACGGAATATTGCTTACAAAATGTTAGCAGGTTCGATTGTAAACAATTTTAACTCACGTAATCTCTTTACGTATTTACCCAATAGCATGGCCGCTAAAATTGTAAATCAAGCGGAACGCATCTCCGCAAAAACATGGAAGAATTCCGATTATGAGAACACTTTCCTCAATGGCTTAACTAAAATGCGTGTTAATCAGAAGGTAAGCGAAAGGCTATCTTGCCACCACTCGTTAAAATTAGCACTTCGTCACTCTGTCCTACAGCTCTTTGATTTTTCTTTGGACATAGACGGTGAGCTCATCTACGTGCATAAACTTGCACTCGCGATTGCCTCTGATTACTTCGCCGCGATGTTTGAAGGTGAGTGATTCCCGGAAACTGTCAAATAGGACTTCAATAAAATCTTTAAATACTTAATTTTATAGCTGATATGAAGGAGAGAAAGGAAGGGACGGTCAAGTTGGAGGATGTGGATGTAGTTGCCGTTAAGGCACTCGTTGACTACGTTTACAGCGGGATCATCACGCTTACAGAAAATAACGTTGAAGCGATATTGTCTGTATCGGACTTATTTCAGATCGTATGGGTGAAAGAGCAATGTGTCCAACTTCTTAAAAACAACGTGAACCGAAAAAATTGTTTTCGAGTGCGAAAGCTTGCTGGTACGATTATAATGGAATTCTTGCAGATATGGTTCAACTAAAAAAGTTTCATTATTTTCCAGATATGCATTCTTGCAAAGAGTTGCACGACGTCAGCCATAAATATATTTTGGATCATTTAGATGATCTAATTGCTGAGGAGGATCTACTATTATTGTCATTTGAAGAGGTATTTATATAATTCAATCATTAAAAAAAAAATAAGTGCGATTAGGGCGGTGAAGGTTCTAACAAAGAATACGTTTGTTATTATCTATTGTATAGGGAAACACATAATGGGAGTTGAAATTAAGATTCCGTACCTATCATCACTCTCCCACACATTTCGAAATAAGGGATACATTTGAGAATAACGTTTAAATTCCTGAATTCCGCCCATCCAATCATGTTATAAACATAAGTTTGTTTCATTTTTAATTTCACAACAGATTAACTCGTTATTTTTTTAAACACTATTTTCAGACCAAGGAGTTGATAAAGGACGAGGAACGTGTGATAAAATCTGAAGATAGCGCTTATAAGACCGCAATAAATTGGGTCAAACACGACCTAGAGAAGAGAAAAGATCAACTCGCGGAGCTTATGAGTCAGATACGTTTACCTATTGTCAGCACAGAATTCTTGACAAATCATATTGTTGCTGAACCACTGCTCAGACAAGATCACAAATGTAGTCAATTCCTGATTGAAGCCTTAAATTCTCAGTTAACAAGAGTAACTGAAAGAAATGATAGCTTTCATGTGTTTCTTGTCGGCGGCACAAGGGATTGTGTGATGGGGACAAAAGAATGCAAAGTCTACGACATTTCCAAAAAGAAACTATTTTCTATCTCAAGTATGAATGAGGATAGATTCAATAATTCTGCCGCCTCCTTAAACGGTGCTATCTATTCAGTGGGTGGATATAATAACGGACTTTTGAACACTGCGGAATATTATGATCCTGTCAGTGAGCGATGGAGTTACATTGCACCCATGAATTATGGTCGGAGAGGTTTTGGAATGTGCACGTACAATGATCTAATTTACGTTGTTGGAGGATGGTGGAATTCAACAGTCGAAAGCTATAACCCTTCAACAAATAAATGGCATTTGTGTCAAGCCATCCCTGGAACAAACGAAGGTTTCAATCGGGCAACAGTGGCAGAAAATAGTATATACAGTCTGACTCGAGTAACTAATGGCAACAATGCACTATTTCGCTTTGACCCGAGAGATGGAAAGTGGTGTAATGTAAATGAGATACAAGAAACATCTAATCGATATCGACTCGTCTGCTATGATCGCACATTGTTTGCCATGGGAAGGGACGACTGCAAATGGCTCGACATACGAGTGAATAAATGGGAATCTATGCCCCACATGTTGTCTAATAGGTATGGTTTCTCGGCCGTGATAGCCGCAAAAGACATTTATGTACTGGGCGGTGAAGAAGAACCTAGCTCACAGTTCATTACAAGTGTAGAGCGTTTTAGTATCCTTAGTAATGAGTGGACAATAATCGACCCTATCGGAATTGAACACTGTCACGGGGGAGCTGCAGTTCTCAGCGGAGATTTTGATTTCAATTAAATAGTGGAAGTCAAGCATTATAAGGAATAAATATTAGTTTCCTTACTCTTGTCAGAATCTTTTGCGTACGTCTAAGGTTTCACTCATTCAAAGGAAATTAAAAATATATAATATTTAAAGAAATATTTAGTTCGTTTAAATTTATGGACAATAAACTTTTATTAACCATTCAAATACTGTCTTATTTCTAGAAGCACGTAAGTGTGAATATTTTAGTTGTGGTAGTAATTATCCAGGAAAGTGAGAAAGACAAACTTTTTATTAAATGAGTACTAAAGGAACACAAGAGTGCGAGTTATCCTATAAGGACACGGGTTGATAATTACAAATCAAAAGCATTGTCTATCATTAGTTTTAGGTGTGAAGTAACAGGGAATTTCGAATGCAGAAGAAGCCTTCGCTGAAACATCTTTCGTCACAATTTTTGTCGCCTGAAGAAAATCAATTTTTTTTTTTTGCTTTATTAATTCTTAATGATCAAACTATTCCTAATTCGAAAGAGGCTTTTTTCGCCGAATCAAGCTAGAATATGAAAATTTTTTCACAAAAATTTGCAGAGAAAGAAACTCCACTCCCGCCACAAGTTCTTTCATTTTTGCGTCTTATTCTTCACGTTTAATATGTGATTCAAAACAACTTTCGACAAAAAATGTACTTTTCTTTTTCAAACGTTGGGAGGTAACCAGGGTTCAATAAAATTTATTGCTACTACGTATGGATGCGATTTCGTAGAGAGTTATCAAAAATAAATTTTTATACCTAATAAAATTTATATTTTTAACTCATATGCTATAGATTTCAAGTAAATACATTTTCTTCCGTCCACGCTTAAATACAGTTTCTTCCGCCCAAGCTGAAACAGAGAAACTATCAATTGCATTTACTTGTCAAAACAAGTAAGAACATGAAACTCGGCCAAGAGTAAGCTTTAGAAACCCTACACTACTTTGCGTAATATAAGTGGTGATAAGACACTTTTCATGAAAGCCCACCTATAGGAGGAGGATGCCCCAAACATCACATGGCCTGATGTGATATTAGCATATTCCCCAAAATTTTATTATTTTTCACATTCCGCCATATAAAAACAGAAAGTAGACTATGTCCCCACCTGAAGGCTTGAGTTTCTGGCCTGTAATGGAGAAGTATATTATTTTATATTGAATTTCGAATTTATTTCCCGAGTTTTATTTTTGAACTAACTGATATATAAAATTTTCTTATCTATATATGTTTGTTTTAATAAGAATTTAGAAAGGGTTCAATTTCCAAAATATATTATTTATACAATAAAATAATGGTAATAATAACAACAACGACAATAATCATAATAACTACATTAATAATAATAACAATAATAGTAACAAAAATAATAATAATGATGACGATCATATCTTACCTTTCTTCGAGAATTTATGTTAAATAAATTAAAAATATAGTCATTCTTGTTTAAGGTAACCGTAATTGTTGTGTTTTCTTTAATTGCAGTCGATCAATCGGAAGCTTTTAACAGTGCTATCTGCACTCACTTGAAAATATTTGGGCTCCTCTTCGATCACCTTATAAGGTTCTTCATACCGCTGGCTTTAGCTGATCAATCGGAACCTTTTAACAGTGTAATCTGCATTCACTTCAAACTATTTAGGTTTCTCTTCAATAACATCGCATGGTTCTTCCTATCGCTAGCTACAGTCGATCAACTGAAAGCTTTTAACAGCACTCACTTTAAAATATTAGGCCTCCTTTTCAACCACCTTATGGGGTTCTTCAGATCGCTGGCTACTGTCGATTAATTTGTAAAAACCGAACGGTTCTGCTGTTGAATAAGCTGCAATGACTTCTCCAGGCATTCGCAAATATTGACCTTAGACGATTTCAGCACATTTGGCTGAAAAGTTCTCTTTGTTTAACGACCTTCAGCCTGTAAGCGTGACAAGAAGTTCCCATTTATAAGATTGTTTTCTAGATGAAATTGCTGCTTCAAGTTCTCTGTGGAATCGTTCAATGATATCATTTGATTAGGGCATAATAAGGCGAGGTAGTGATCTTGTGCCTACCCAAAAATGTTTGGAGTGAGTTGAGTAGTCTGATCATTGACAATTTGTAAAAATACACCGCAACGTGTGATATCATTTGCAAAAAAGACGGAAGCGTCAGTTGACGCACTTATATCTCCATGGGTGATATTTGGTCCTTATTTGTGATGTTTAAACGTCGGCAAGAGGTCGACTGTATCTAGATGCGTATGCTCAAACCTACCTTCAGATATAGCGATTTTTGTCACTGATGTTTCTGTGTGTCTGTATGCTTTAGATTTTTTGCAGTGTCTACAATTGCTAGTGCGGATGTTAACTTGGTGCCGGGTGATACCACTTTTTTGGAAACCGTCAATCCGTCAAACCTGCCATCGTTGTAAACTGTGAAAAGTCTACCCTCTCCTAAATGTTTAATACATTTAATACTTAAATAAATCACTAAAAGTTCACGATCGAACGCGCTCTACTTAGTATAGCTTTTAGAGAAGAAGGGTTCCACTTCTTCTACTACGTCGTTGAGTGTCTGCTGTAAAACTGGGCCAACCGCTACGTTTGTGGCATCCACTGTTAAAGAAGGCTAGCTTCTCTATGGAAATAGTTTAATAGTATCTTCGATGCGAACTTTTCTTTAACGCTCCCTCGCGACTGCTTTAGTCGCGTTTTTGTTCCAGATTAAATTTTCTTCTTTATTAAGTAAGTGCGGACGTATGTAACAAGTAGAAGAGCTTACGCTAGACCCAGCTTTTATTATATTGATCGATTCAGTATCGTAATCTGATTTGGTCTAAACTTGTTTGCCCGTCTGCCAAAATTCAATGTTAAAGGTCGCAATTCTCGAGATATTTTCATGAAACTTGGTAGGACCCAAGTACCTACGCCATTCAAAATGGTTCGTATCAATCCACTTCTTCGGGAAAAATTGTAATTTTCAAAATTTCTCGGCCAAAGTGGCAAAGTAGTAATATTTCGAGATTCTAAGTTGGCATAGAACCTTTATACCTGCTGATGCTATTCGTGAACCCCATCCTATGTAATGAAATATGAAATGCATACAACAAAAAGGTATAATTTTCAATGCTTCGGAATGAAAATTATATCGCAATAGTAATTCAATATAAAAAAATTAACTGTGTCAAATTTGAACCATGTCGGCCTATTCAAGCATTTAAGAATATTTAAGGAAAGTCTAAGTTTTAATATGCGGTGATGAAAATTGAACCATAATAGTAATTTCATACAAAAATGAATCCTACAAAATATGGACCATCCATGTCTATTTTTAAATCCTGCCCTATGTAAGGACTTGTCCTACATTAGGTTGCGTTTTGGTCCAGCTTCCCCGTAAATACGCACTTGAAAAATATGCCTTTATGTAGGAACAAGATATAATTTTTGTTTTCCATAGTAAAAATAAGAATTGAGTTATAGATATTTAATGGGGTAAGGTATTTAACGGTCGACCTTGCCCGAATATAATTTTCGTATTTGTTTTTCTTTAAAGGAATTTTGTCTCCCAATGGTATCCTCGTTTTAAACACAGTCACAAAATGTACTTCAGCTCCTGGCGGAACCGTCATTTTGTAGCGGGAGAAGCTTCTTTTTTTGTGTTTTTTATGAAATATTGCCCTGATGACGCGCATTGTCGAGGAGCCTTAAGGTCATTGACCTTAGGAACATATATATGAAAAGTTAGATGTTTCATTTATCTGTGTTTATTTATTTATTTTCTTTTTGTTTTTCCTTTAAAGACAAAAGTTTGGAAATTCGTTAGGTCCCGTGCAATAAAAACCTCCTCTTCTCTGACTTCTTCCTTTTGTGTTCAAAACAAATTTTACTTCTTTTGTTATAACTTTTTTTATATTTTCATCGATTTCAAATACTCATAGGAAAAATCCGGGTGATATTGTAGTTGTAGAGCACTAGCAATTGTGGTGGTGTGTTGTAGCTCAAATAGCACCTGACTCTGTTAATACTATATCCATTACCGAGGTATAAGAAGAAAGCATCAAAAACCCCACAAAGTATATATATTCTTGAACGGTATCTAATTCTAAGTCGATTTAAGCTTGTCCGTCCGTATTGTTCGTTGTAAACATTCTCCTGGCCGAAAAAGTGAAGCTATCGACTTCAAATTTCGTATTGAAAATGCGCCAAATTCGCCGCTCTTTTCCAAAAGGAATGAAAAATTTTTTTTTGGTTTTTTTGTTACATTATATCAATATTTAATTTTTGTTTTAATACCAATAAAAAAGCTTCAAAAACAAAGTACATAAATTCTTAGTCAGCTTCAAATTTGGAGTGCACATAATCATATGTGCGTCTACTATTCCGTCCATCTGTCTGTCTGCGTATATGTGCGGTATTTGTGGCAAACATTCCACGGTTAAGGAAATTGAAGATGTCGCCAACACGCCTACACCAAATAGAAAATATCAGCTGCGCCCACTCCATATATTTTGTTTTTTTAGCATAAGGATGATGGGTATAAAAGAGTCGGTCACGACCGAATTTAATTTTCTTACTTGTTTTTTGTAAATTTATAAGATAGCCTAGGTTTTGTTTTTAGGGAAAATGGAATCGAATAAAATTCATTCAATTCCTAACTTTCTTATGATATTTTGATTGTCTTTTAAAGAAAAATCGAAAAGATTAACTTTCCGAAGGTTGAAAATAAATTGAAAAAGTTTGAAACGAAATAGGAACCACGAATAGCGAATATTGTGATTTATCAACTTTCACAAGATCCAATAAGAGGTGGCATGTATTTCAATATCGGGAAAAATCGGCAAATTTTAAACAATTGTCGACGACAAGAATTGGCCACTTATTCATTATTTGGAGTTCGAGTCGAACCTAAGGAAAAGTAAACAAAAATAAAACATAAAGACAGCATTGAATTGTCGGTTGGTACAGCTGATTCCTACCTTGTGAGCGCGGGCTAAATGAATCCTTTAATGAGAATTTAAAACAGCGACATCGAAAAATTGAATTCATGACCGTACGTATCTATAAACCCAAGTACTAGAGTGTAACGGTTGGAATCTTTTATGTACAAATGGCTCTAAATCCTTTGGTCTGTCAGCTGCTTGTGCCGTGGTGGATACTTCAGGACAGGTTCTTCCTAATCACGAAAAGTGCTTCAACTTTCATAAACGAAGCCAGAGCTATCCCTCACGCTACGAACCTTTTTCATAAAGATAAACTCAAAACTGTCATTGTTACTGATAGTTTCTCTGTCTCAAAAGCTATTCGGAATCCTTCGGCTTCGACATGGAGCACCATCCACGAACTAAGGAATATCATTACAACATCCGGCAGTAAAATTAAAATTCTTTGAGTACCGGTTTATTGAGAAATAAGCAAGATAATCGAGCGGTTGCTTCTGCACCTCTAATTATAAGCGATGCCATGGAAAAGATACGTTGAAAGAAAAGAAAAGAAAAAATTATGGAAGGCAATCTATAGTGCTATCATCAGCACTACTCTTCTATTAACCCTCAATTAATTCCGCCTTTATATCCAACAAAGATTGAGAAAAGCAAGTTCAAAACATTTTCGAGAATTCGCCTTGGCCATCCAGCTTCCCCTCACCAATGGATCTTGAAGAAGTGTTCTTCGTCTATCTTCAATTGTGGACAAATTCTCACACATTCTCTCTGACTGGCTTAACCTTTCCATGGCTCGAAATATTGCAATTGGAGCAACTGATCCTACGGGCGTCCTAAGATCAGCTACAGAGCACAATATCAAATCTATATTGCATTATTGAAACTCTTAGGCTCAATATCTAATGTTCTCAGTCCACTTTTTTGCAATGCAAATTCTCCTCACCTTTCTATACAATCTTTGTCTGGACTCTTTTTGATCCAGACGCAATTTTCTGAACACCTACTTGATTCTTGCAGAAACTCGATATCTATTTACTCCCTAGGATCTCTAAAATATTTTCTATTCCCCTAATATCTAATACTTTTGGTATCATTCGGAACAATGTCTCGTCCTTTGCACTTTTAGTTCCTTTTTCAGATTTGTAATGATGATCAAACTCGGACAGTCCCGGTCACCATCTTTCTAGTTGGATTTCTTTATTTAGGAAGTGAAGTATTTGCGTATGTTTCAACGAGGATGTTCCCAGCTGGTTAGTAGATTACACCGGAATTGAGTTCGAGGCCCTGCAAAGATAGGCTCGCGTAGCGTATTGGTCGACACCTGAGGTTTAATTGCTCGCATCTGCTTCTGCTGTGCATCGTTGCATCCCGGAATTGAATTTCTGTGAGGGGTTAGATTTTTTTTTCTTTTTAATAATCAGTTATCTCTTTTCCTAAACATTGGTTTCGGTTTATCTGCGCTGGCTAATCGTCTACATACATACATACAAGACTTCTTCTGCATTCGAAATTCCCTTTTGCTTCACATCTAAAGCCAGTGATAGACAATGCTTTCTATCTGTGATTATCGGTGCGTGTCCTTCGAGGATAACTTGCGATCTTGTGTTTCCGGAGTACTCGTACTTCGTTATCATATAACTTAAATGAAATGTTTGTTTGTCGCCCTTATCTCGGTAATTACTGTCAAAACTAAACTATTCACCTTACGTGCTGCTAGAAATAAAACAGTATTTGAATGATTAATAAAAGTTTATTGTCCATAAATGTTAAACGAAGTAAACATTTCTTTAAATACTAAATACTTTTAATCTTCCTCAAGCGACAGAAACCTTCCTTAAACATACGCAAAAGATTCTGAGGGAAGTAAAGAAACTAATATTTATTCTTTATAACGCTTTCCTTCCACTATTTAACTGAAATCAAATTCCCCGCTTAGAACTGCAGCTCGTCCCCAAAAGTGATAAATTTCTGTTGAATCCACTGTTGTCCACTCATTATTAAGGACACTACAGCGTTCCACACTTGTAACGAATGAGTTACATTCTTTTTTACCGCCAAACACATATATGTCTTTTCCGGCTATCACAGCCGAGAAACCAGTCCTATTGGACAACATGTGTGGCATAGATTCCCATTTGTTCACTCGTATGTCGAGCCATTTGCACTCGTTTCTTCCAATGGTAAACAATGTGCGATCATATGAGATGAGTTCATATTGACCAGATGTTGATTGCATCTCATTTAAATTATACCACTTTTCATCTCTCGGATCAAAGCGATGAAATACATTATTGCCTCCAAGTGGATGAGTCAAAGCGTATATATTATTTTCTGCCACTGTTGCCCGATTGACACTTTTGGTTATTGCAGGGATACTCTGAGAGAAGCGCCATTTGTTAGTTGCAGGATTGTAGCTTTCTACTGTGGAGTTGTCCCATCCACCAACTACGTAAATTAGATCATTGTACGTGCAAATCCCAAAACTATCTCGGGTACTATTCATTGGCGCAATATAACTCCACCGCTTGCTGACAGGATCATAACATTCAGCCGTCTTCAAAGCACCCGCATTCCATCCACCCACTGAATAAACTACACCGTTGAAGGAGGCGGCAGAATGATTGTATCTCTTCTCATTCATACTTGAGATAGAAACGTGTTTCTCTTTGGAAACATCATAGACTTTGCATTCTTTCATGGCATTTGCATTCTCAATGTCCCGTGTGCCGCCGACAAGAAACACATGAAAGCTTTCGTTGCGATGTTTTGTTTCTGTTTGGCATTTTTTATGTGGTTGAGTAACTTCCGTTAATTGACAAGTTAAGGCTTCCATTAAGAATTTATTGCATTTTTGATCTTCTGTAAGCAGAGGGTCAGCAACAATGTGGTTTGTCAAGAACTCTGTGCTGACAAGAGGTAAACGTATCTGGCTCATAAGCTCCGCGAGGTGAACTCTTCTTCTCTCTAGGTCGTGTTTGACCCAATTTATTGCGGCCTTATAAGCACTGTCTGAAGGTTTGACAAAATGTTGCGCGTCCTTTATCAATTTCTTCATCTGAAAATAACGTTTTAAAAAGTTACGAGTCAACCTGATGTGATATTAAATACAAAGTAAATCTATGTTCATAACATGATCGGCTGGGTTATGTTGTAAAAATTTCTCTATGGAATGCTAATTAAAGAGCAGAACGTGGTTCAGGAATTTAAATATGCTTCTCAAATGTACCTCTTGGGCTGGAGTGATGATGGGTACAAGATCGTCACTTCAACTCCCACTATGTTGTTTTTCTCTACAACAATACGATAAAATTATCAGAGAAACGAAGAAAGCGTTCACACTTCTTCAGTGCACTTATGGGTAGAGCCTGGATTAAAAGTGACGACGTAAACGAGCATATGATCAAAAACACGCTTCCATGCCAAATTTAAAAAGGCACTCTCATGGTAAACCGCTTGAAAGAGGGATCAAGTGGATTTAATCACAAGCGTAGGTTCACAATCGGGAACATATTGATGCCAAATTCCGTTCTTCCTATACTCTCTTTCCATCCTTTCAATGCACAATGAAATCTTTTTGCACAAATACCTTAATCACATTCCGATTTCTGGGATTCAACTCTACGACCAACGCTAAACTAGCAACCCTCTTCAATAATTCCGCTTCCCAAAAATGATTTTTAATATTCTATTCTTATCAACACAGAGGAAATTAAAACAAATTATTGCAAAGTAATAGAGTAGATCGACAGACTTGTACTTCAATGGAACAGTAAAGACCGAATTATTCTTTCACAAAACAACACTAATTTCAGTCGTTTGTTGGACAACTTTTATGTTTGGATTCTTTAAATACCTCTTCAAATGATATCAACAGTAGATCCTCCTCGGCAATTAGGTCATCGAAATGATCCAAAATATATTTATAGCTGGCGTCCTGCAACCCCTTGCAAGAATGCATATCTGAAAGAGAATAAAAGCTTTTTAGTAGAGCCAAATCTGCAAGAACTCCACCATACTCTTACCAGCGAGTTTTCGCAATCGAAAACAATTGTTTCGGTTCAAGTTGCTTTCAAGAAATTGGACACATTCCTCTTTCACCCATACCAACTGAAATAAGTCCGACGCAGCCAGTACCGCTTCGACGTTTGCTTCTGTAAGCGTGATGATCCCGCTATAAACGTAGTCAACGAGTGCCTTGACGGCAACTAAGTCCACATCCTGTAACTTGACAGTTTCTTCCTTCCGCTCCTTCATGTCAGCTATAAAAGTAAATATTCAAAGTATTAAGCCCGATTTGAAAGTTTCCGGGAATCACTTACCTTCGAACATCGCGGCGAAGTAATCAGAGGCAATCGCAAGTGCAAGTTTGTGCACGTGGATGAGTTCGCCGTCTACGTCCAAAGAAAAATCAAAGAGCTGCAGGACAGAGTTATTAAGTATTAGTTTTAACGAATAGTGGTTAGATAGTCTTTCGCTTACCTTTTGATTGACACGCATTTTGGCCAAACCATCGAGGAAAATGTTCCCATAATCAGAATTGTTGCATTTTTTCGCGGAGATGCGTTGCACTTGGTTCACAATTTTAGCGGCCATACTGTTGGATAAATAATTAAAGGGATTAGAAAAATTAAAATTGTTTAGAATCGAAGCTGTTAACATATTGTAAGCAATATTCCGTTCGTCATAATAAGGATATAGATTTCAATGTTTAAATGCAGAAGTAAATGCAAGTTCATTACGTATTATTGTTCGTCACCATAACCCGCATATAGATTAACAATTAATATTTAGCAGAAGTTGATGAACGCGGAAGCATAGTTGTTAAGTTGCCTACGCTAACAAGATGGTTATTTTATAGTGGATTGATACTCTATAAATGCCTTCGGGAATGTGTTGTTATGCACTAATAGTTTTGGTTCACTTCAACCGACTTGTGAACTCAATACAAAGATTAAAATTATATGAGATCTAAATAATTTCATAATGGGCGCTGTTCGCCACTTTTCAGGTTATTTTTCAGAAATTCTCCATTCGTTCTTCTCTTCTCGTGCTAGTAAAGTTTCATTCAGACATCGTGCGCTATTATAAAGAGCAAAAAGGTGATAATCAAATATAGCGGAAATATGGCCAACGCCATCATTGCCATTTTTTAAATATTCCGTATCCACGAAAATAGACGCAAGTCTTTTGTCATAGGAAAGTATGAGCTTATCATTAAATGCAGGATTTTTTATATAGTTGAATCGCAAAGCACTTCTACCTCATGCTTAAAATGTCGAGGAACTCGCAAAAAACATTATAAATATAATAATTTAGTGAACGTGAGAACGAAATCTTTTCAGGAAACAAATTCGTTAATCAATTCTGAAAGTAAATCATATATGAATTCTATACTAAATTTCCCTTAAATTAAACGCCAGCTCTATTGTCATAGGTAAGATTGTGTCTTCATTCCTCAGACAAAATATTTCATTCACTTCGGAAGGGAAGTTAATTCGGGACTCATCTCCTAACTCGGCACGAAAATTAAGAGGCAGAAAAGTGTTAATGTATGTACTTGGTCTCTGAACTTGAAGAGTTACGGTCTCTTCCGCAAATCGACAGGATTACTTACGCCGTCCATAAACCCAAGAAATTCGATGCTCACAGAGTTATCGTATACGTTGGAAAGATATATTCTAAGTTCATTAATAACAGTCTGATTGATATGACAATAATACGTGATTTCAATTCTCTTCATTCAGCACTGAACTATTTAGGCGGTAGTTATTTATCTGAAAGGTAACTTTCGTTCACGACCAAACCGATGGTTGTTAAACGTTTCCGCTCCAACCACGTAAGACATTTGTGGCAGATTTTCGTTGCTTTCATTCGTATATAAACGAAAAGTAGAAGAGAGAATAAGAAAATTTTTGCATCGTTGTAGTATGTTACGAAAAAAGTGAAATCCACTGGTTCCATACTGACGCGGAACGGGATAAACGAAGCGTTCTGGCGTCGGTGAAAATCCCGAAATATCTGCTTCCAAAATTAGGCAATATTTTAAAGAAGCGTTTCACAAAGATATTCATGAAGACACGGTTCGAAAAATATTAAAGAAGGTCGGGCTATGATGGTCGTGTAGCCCGCAGAAAACCTTATATATTTATTTATTTATTTACTTACTTATACATGAAATTCAACATTAATAGTTGGATTCAAGTAAATCTTAATGGTAAATCTTATAATAATCATTTTAAAAACTCGTATAGAATATATAGGAATATGTGAAAAAAGAATAGTAAACTTAAAATTATAATTCATGTATAAATAAATAAGAAATAGAAAAAAAAAGCATATAAACAGATAGCAAAGAAGCACACCCACAACAAGAACAGATCAACACCAACAACACCATTTAGTTTTCAAAATAAATAAAAAGGAGAATTTAAGGATACAAGTTAGTTTAAGTACGACATATTAAGCAAAGTTGCTTTAATAGACTTTACAGAATACGATATTGAGAATAAGTGATAGGTTTCTGCAAACAACTATGAGCGGGCTAAACAGCTCATAATTGTGTTTACATTGACTAAGCTTAAAAGGGATAAAGTTCCTAGGGAAACGGTTAGGGACATTAAAGCATATCTCACCAAATAATGCGGGGGAGTCTATAGTACAATTCACACGTCAGGGGAATTCATCCGAGGTAATGAAGTTAAGCAAAACCCTGAATGATCTATTGTGCAGATAAGAGCTTAACCATTTCAAAGAATATATGCGGTGAATCTGAATATTTTAAGTTTCACTTAATAAGCACGTATTCAATGCAACGGTCAAGGTAAGGTTTATTTTTTTCTATATATATAATGATTTACTGACCTATGCAAAAAAAATTGTTATCGCTTTTTCTTTCATCGACATCGCATTCACTAATATTTGCACTCTAAAGAAAACAAAACCTCTCTTTGAGTTTTATATATCTTATTGTGTTTCTCTTTTTCTCAATGGCAACAGCATTACTCTTTGCTAGCAATAATAATAATTCATGTGCAAGCTCAGTAATTTTATCAATGAGACCAACACAAGCGCCTATTACACACGCTAGGTAAACACTGTCTCAACTCTTATTTGCAAAGAAAACTGCCAAGAGTAGAACGATTTCAATAATATATTCTTATAACAAAGCTACCTAAACAAAAACACAATTGTACATAAATCAAATAAAGATAATACAATACCGGCACAAATGTTAGCATGAGACATGTGAAACCAAGCTATATATATTTTTCTATTTTATAGGAATTTTTTATTGGGCTTATTAGCCATTTTTTTAGTGTTCCCATTGCAACTTCAATGTACATATTTCTGATCAGCTATGAAAAGTATTCTCCATCAATCTTAGGAATTATTCCGTCAAAAAAAGTTACTAAGTCCTCGTAATGAATAAAATCTTATATAGAAGAGTTGTGAAATTAGCGAATTAATTTGAACATTTTTGAAGTTATTACTGAAGGTTTAAGTTGGATCAATTTTTAAATCAATTAAATGCAATTAAAAATTCCTTAATTCTCTAAAATAAAGAATTTTTCCGCTAAAAACATATAATAATATTTACAAACCTTAAATCCGATTTGAAGGACCAATGCTTAGGAGTGTTTGGAGTAGTAATAAAATGTGCTCACTTTCCAATTAATAATAAAATTTTTACTTATTTAGCTTTGATGAATTTCGATATGGTTACTCATTCAATTTTTTTTATACTTTTTCTCAAATCAACGCAAGAACTAATTATTTTGAATGTCCGACTCTTTCAAAGGGGAAATTGCGACTGGTTCTATTAAAATTAAATTAGAGGATTTAATACTCGCTCTCTCTCTTTCTCTCTCAGGTTTTTTGAGAGAGGATTGCTGAATTCAACGATTGAGTTATCTCATAGAAACAAAGAGGCAGGCAAGTACGACAATGTGCAAGAGACAGGCAAGTACAACGAGTCCAATACACTTGAGATGCGAACAACAGTACAAACGAATACACAATTGTAATATAATAGTAGTAATATTTTAAGTTTCATTTATGAAGCATAC